TATATATATATATATATATAAACCTTAAACACGTAAATCAATTTCATATTCCTTTACTTTACACAGTAATTTATCATTTTCTCTAAAAATGCAACAACAAAAATATCTTCTTCCCATATTTTATCTTATATCTATAAACAAATCTTTAAAGCCTTGTCATTCAAACTTAATCAAGAAAACTTCCATTAAGAACTACCAGAAACAACAACATATTGAAAATCTTAATCTTTAATCCCTTCAAGTAGTATCCCACAAATTAATTTCTTATCATTTTTTCTTCGTCTCCTCTCAGAAATTCCTTTGCAAGTTTAATACTTTCCTTCAGTTTCAATACCGTAGCCCATCTCTTTCTCCAAATGTACAACAAAAAAAATCTCTTCTTCCCATGTCTTATCTAAAAAGAAATCTTTAAAGCCTCTCATTCAGTTCTGGTCAAGAAAAACCCATTAAAAGCTGCTAGAAGAAAAATAATCATATATATTTTAATCTTGATTGAACAAATAGAGTTTATAATCTTTCTTTTTGGTTTTAAAAGTCTTAAGGTTTATTCCTTTTAAATAGTGTCCCAAAAGCTGGTTTCTTTTCATACTCTCTATCTTTTCTCAGGAACTCCTTTGTAAGTATAACACATCTCTTTGGTAAGTCCAAGATAAGAAAGTTGTCCAAGTCACCCTTCTGAGTTAAAATCCACACATCCAAGTCACTCTTCTGATTTATTATTTGGGTCCCTTTTAGCTGTTAAAACATCAGTTGGTTTCATTTGTAAAGTCCTGTGTAGCATCTTTGTCAATATCATTCTTGTATCCTGTCATTTTTAAATCCATATCCAAAACAGCCTGATTCCCAGTTGTATCCTCCTCTGCCTCCTCTTTAAAACCCATTTTTAAAGTTCTGAATACATTGTTGCCAAATATCCTTGAATTCTTCCAGAGTTAAAATAGTTTTCTCCATTCTGTATTAGTGGGTCTTCTCCTTTAATTATAATCTTTAGTTCTTTCTGGTTGCCTCTAGTAATTAGCCTTCAGAGTCTCCTCTTACCATGTTTTTCTCTAATCCACAACATTTTCCCATGGAAAGATTTCTTACGCTTAACTTCAAGATTTTCATATATTTTTAATAGGGACTTTAAACAAACCACAGGAAGGATTCTTCTAGTTTCAAAATCTTATTTCCAGCTAACCTAGCTCCTTAGTCCCTTTATAACTTCCCAGAATCAGTGTTCCAATCACCCTCTTCGCTGCTTATTTCCAAATATTTTTTTTCTTTAAGTTCTTAAACTTACATGAAATTTCTTTTGTTGAGGATTGAAGGAGAATCACCCAGTGAAATGAAACTTGTCCTTCTGAAGGTTCTTAGTATCCAAAAAGCAATTTACAAGCTATTTCCAGAAGTGATTAAGAGAGAAAGTGGGCAAACCCAGTGTCCCTTTGAAGGCTCCGAACTGCGGCTTGGGCAAAGTGGACTCTCCCAGCTTCTAGAGCTCTAAAACCCACTGGAGATCATTGTTTTACTGTCTCATCACGGGGAGCATCTCTGTGGAGCCCTATGGGCGATCCCAGGTCCTCCCCTTGGTTCCAGAAGGAATTTCGAGGTGCTGATCTATTCACCGACTCTCATTCTGCCACGGTCATTGGCTTCACTAAAAGTGGAGCCATCTTCAGTTCTCCATTGCTTCCCCAGAAGTC